TTGTCGTTCTGGTCCACGATGAGGATGTTGACCGTGGCGTTGCCCGCCAGCGCCTGGGGGCTGCCGGCGTCCCGCGCCTCCACCTGGAAGCTGAAGTCCTTGAGCTGCTCGTAGTCGAAGGAGCGCAGGGCGTACAGGTAGCCGTTCTCGGAGTTGATGGACACGTAGGTGAAGATGCTCATGCCCTGGATCTGGCACTCGAGGATCGAGTAGGCGAGCTGGGCGTTGGCGCCCTCGTCGCGGTCCGTGGCGCTCACGGCGTAGATGTAGGCGCCCGGCACGTTGTTCTCGGTCACGTACACGTCGTAGACCGGCTGGTGGAACCGCGGCGCGTTGTCGTTCACATCGGACACCTGCACCTGGATCGACTTGCTGGTGGAGAGCGCCGGCTCGCCCCGGTCCCGGGCCACCACGGTCAGGGTGTAGGAGTCCCCCGCCTCGCGGTCCAGGGGGGCCTCGGTCACGATGGTGTAGTAGTTCTTGAAGGAAGACTTGAGGCGGAACGGCACGTCCCCCAGCAGCTCGCACTGCACCTGCCCGTTCTCCTCCGAGTCGCGGTCGGTCACGCTGAACAGAGCCACCACCGTGCCGGGCGCCGCGCCCTCGCTCACCGCCTCCTTCACCGTGCTGAAGCTGATCTCGGGCGCGTTGTCGTTCGCGTCCAGCACCCGCACCAGCACCTTGCAGTGCGCGGGCACGGCGTTGGGGCCCAGGTCCTTGGCCTGCACGTACACCTGGTACACCGGGCTCTCCTCGTAGTCCAGCTCCCCGCTCACCTCCAGCCGGCCGGTGCGCGGGGACAGCCCGAAGAGCTCCCGCGCCCGGGGGGAGATGTGGCTGCTGAACGAGTACACCACCTCGCCGTTCTGGCCCTCGTCCGGGTCGGTGGCGTTGAGCTGGATCACCAGCGTGCCCGGCGGCGAGTTCTCGGGCAGGGACACCGTGTAGACGGGCTGGTCGAAGGCGGGCACGTTGTCGTTGGAGTCGAGGACTCGGATGGTGAGGAGGGCCG